TGACCCCTGGCATCCCCACCCCATCCCGCAGCAAGTCTCGAACAGTCCAGGTTTCTGTCCCCTCAGTCTGGCCTGTCATTGGCCCTGGCCTCAGGGACCGCAAAGGGGAATGTCTCAAGGACCCATGGGCAGCCCCACAGCTGCCCCTCATGTCTATTGCTTCCTAGTGGGGAACGAGCTGATCCAGGTTGACTTTTATCAGCGGGCTGAGACGCTGCAGCAGGAGGGTGGGCAGTTAATGTTCGACTTTGATGGGGACGAGATGTTCCACGTGGATCTGGAGAAGACGGAGACCATCTGGCGCCTACCTGAGTTCGGGGAGTTCGCCAGCTTCGAGGCCCAGGGAGCCCTGGATAACATGGCTATACTGAAACACAACATGGAGATCGACATTGAGACCAGTCTTGCCGTGGCACAGCCAGTGCTCTCCCATAGGCAGGCCCCTGCTGGGTCAGTTGTTCCTACCCCCTGGGACCCCATCCCCTCTGGATGGTGTCCCTGGGTGGGCTGTGGGGCTCACTGGGGCCTTCTCTATGAGCAGGAGCCCCAGTGCAGCCCCAGTTACTTGGGGTCACATTCACCTCAGGACTGGGGCATGAGTGGCCCTAACACCTTCCCCCTGACTCCCTAGAGCCACCTGAGGTTACAGTGTTCTCTGAGGATCCAGTGGAGCTGGGCGATCCCAACGTTCTCATCTGCTACGTGGACAAGTTCTGGCCACCCATGATCAGCATCACGTGGCTGAAGAACGGGCAGGAGGTGGTGGATGGTGTCTTTGAGACCGTTTACTATCCACGGGAGGACGACACCTTCCGCAAGTTCTCCTACCTGCCCTTCGTGCCCACACGGGGTGACTACTACGACTGCCGGGTGGAGCATTGGGGGCTGCCCAAGGCCCTGCTCAAGCACTGGGGTGAGTGCGGGGGCCGGACCAGGACCTGGACACCCAGGTCCTCTCCCCTGGTAGGCGGCCATGGCCTTGGGCTCCTGTCCTCACTGCGTCCCTCATCTCCCCACAGAGCCCCAGGTGCCGCTGCCCGCGTCCGAGAGCACCGAGACGCTGGTGTGCGCCCTGGGCCTGGCCGTGGGCATCGTGGGCATTGTGGCGGGCACCGTCCTCATCATCAAGGCCATGAAGATGAACAGCGCCCGCAACGCGCGGGGCCCCCTGTGAGCGGGCAGAGCCCTTGGCTTCCTCATGGCCCCATAGCCCGACCTCCTGAGTCACCAACCAGCCATCCCTGTCATGGCCTATATCCATGGACATGGTCCTGACCCTCTGCCCCATGGTCCAGCTCCCAGCCCCACAACCCAATCCTCTGCCCCACGACCCAACCCTGTGCCCTTCGTCCCAACCCTCTGCCCCATGGGCCAACTCTGTGCCCCACAACCCAACCCTCTGCCTCAACCCACCCCTCGTGCCCCTGCTCCTGCCCCCCGGGCGCCACGGGGTTCCCAATAGGCAGTAAAGGCACTCGCAGCCACCCCGCACCGCTGAACCTGTCCCACACCGTGTGCTCTGTGTTGGACTCATTGTCACGGCAGAACGGGGGCACTGGGGGACATGGAAGAGGCAGCAGGTGGGCGGGTGGCACCACGGCCGGATGCTCTGACGGGCGCCACGTTGGGGCCAGGGGGCAGTACAGGAGGCTTCAGCGCCGCGGTCGACGCCGAGGGCACACGGGGTGCCCCAACCCAGGACCTCGCTCACCGCAAGCCTCACTGTGGCCGGACACGGGGAGTGGGATCCTCTGTGACCCTTTGCCCTGTCCCCTTCTCCCTTCCTACTCCTACTCCATCCTGAACCCGGGTGGACACACCCTGAACCCTCCCACTCTGTTTGTTCTGTCCCCCTTCCCCAATGCGCTTCGGTCTCCCGTCCACACCAAGTGCGATGGGTCCCCAATGAGCGTCTGTGTCCCCATCGCCAGCCCCATGGACGGGGCTTCTGCACCCAAATCCCTGCCCCCCAAGTCACTGGAGCAGCCGG